GCACCACTGGTAAAGTAATCTTATGACTCACTGTCTCCCTATTGTGAACTGAAGAGAGAGTACTGTGTACTGTGAATGTCCTCACGTGTTCTATCCACTGTTTGAGCCCAGAAGCACACAGCATCGCTGGTAAAGTAATTGTCTAACCCACTGTCGCCCTACTGTGAACTGAGGAGAGAGTACTTTGTACTGTGAAGATCCCCAGCTGTTCTACTTGCTGTTTGAGCCCAGAAGCACACAGCATCGCTGGTAAAGTAACATTATGACTCACTGTCTCCCTATTGTGAACTGAAGAGAGAGTACTGTGTACTGTGAATGTCCTCACCTGTTCTACTTACTGTTTGAGCCCAGAAGTATACAGCAATGCTGATAAAGTAATCGTTTAACCCACTGTCGCCCTACTGTGAACTGAAGAGAGAGAGAGAGTACCCTGTACTATGAAGAATCCTTACCTGCCATAGTCTGGAAGTCTGCAGCACCGCTGGGGAAGAGTAAGCTTTTAATCCACTGCTTCATTACCGTGCACCAACGAGAATACCCTGTACTGTGAAGAATCCTTACCTGCCATAGTCTGGAAGTCTGCAGCACCGCTGGGGGAGAAGTAAGCTTTTAATCCACGGCTTCACTACCGTGCACTAACGAGAGTACCCTGTACTGTGAAGAATCCTTACCTGCCATACTTGCTGTATGAGTCTGGAAGTCTGCAGCACCGCTGGGGGAAAAGTAAGCTTTTAATCCACTGCTTCATTACTGTGCACCAACGAGAGTACCCTGTACTGTGAAGAATCCTTACCTGAGAAGTAAGCTGCAACCCCCTGCTCCATTATCATGCATTCATGAGAGTATTTTAAACCGTGAGAAACCCTTGGTTCAATAAAGATTGTTACTCCTTTGAAACTTATCTCTGTCTCTGTGGTCCTCTGTTGTGTGCCTGTGGTGTCGGCTCCTCACGGTGGTGACTCGGTTAGAGGGGGGGTGGTTGGTCACCCGAGCGTTCCTCCCCTCGACCTGTGACATTAACTCACTTTTAATCCAACTTAAATGTTCCTCAATATATCAACACCAATAAGGGACAAATTAAATATATATCATGTTTAGTTACTTTATATATGTTTTTATTCACAGCACATAATTTGTCTAATGTAAGCAGTGTTGACAACAGTGAATTATCCTACATAATAGCACACACATGTATTTTTCATGTTGGGATGTGCTCACCTGCAATACTTATACAATATTTTCCTTCCTGATGTAAATAGACATTTTAAATAAGCGTTTTTAAGATGTATGGTTATGTAAATACACGTTGGAAACGTAACTTTACGGTTACTGGAGCTCCCTGTTATCAATACATAATAAAACATGTGTTTACAGCAAAATCACAACTATACTATACTGTCTAACTCCTTTAGACGTTCAACAGTTAAAACGTTTACTCTATAGTAGTTTAACACATACGATTTAAACCGTATTTACTCACATTTGAAAACCCCCGCGTCGCTTATCTCCGCGATGTTGATATTGACGTATCCTTTCTTCTTCTTCTTCTTCTTCTTCTGTGATTTTTATTGGCAGTTTGCAAGCTATGTGCATTGACGTATCCTCTCGCGTGGCCTCCTGGGATAGATGAGTATCATGAGTAGCCGTGGAAAAGCACTCAAAAATCTGGGCGGAAGCAGTAAGCCATCCGGGAACTTCTCGCCTACTCTTTTTATGAAAACTGATGTTTGGAACGTACTGCTTCCTTCACGTACTGTTTTCGCCTACTATATAGTAGGAAAGTAGGCATATTGGAACGTACTTAAGTCCGAATCTCGCGACAATTGCTACGTCACCCAGGTAATTCTCGCCTACTCTTTTGGATTCATTCATACTTTTTTGCTCGCCTACTCTTTTTCCCATACTAAATAGTAGGGAAGTATGCGGTTTGGAACGCAGCCACAGTTTTTCAACCGTGCTTGCGTGCATGTGTGGATTGGCTTGATGGAGGTTGTCATGTCCTGTTGTTAGCATGGTGTTTACTGTTTTGCATATACGAGCTCAACTTACATCAGAAATGCAAGCAGTAATGTGTTTTTAAGTAATGTTATTAATAAACTAGTGTTAACCGCATGCCATGGCAGACCTGGTTCATTGCACTCAAACGAGTTGGAGATGATTTCACATTCCCTCAAGTGGCTTTATTTTTTGATACGATTGCCACTACAACCATTTTTATCAAGCTTGTGTATTTAAGTTCAGTAATTTCACTTAAATGACAATTAATAGGTAATCTTCATTGCCATTTAAGTGAAATTACTGAACTTAAATATACAAGCTTGATAAAAATGATAATTTTAGAAGAAAATTTTTAAATGGCACTTAGAGGCTTTTGCATCTGAACTCTTCACTTATTATTTTAATTAAGCTTTAGTTTACTTCAGAAATAATCTGCCATGGGTCTTCTTTAAAATGATACCAACTTAAGTCTGTGCTCCAAGCTTCACATTTTTATGACAGTTTTTTGACACAGATTTTTGTCCTATATATAATTGATGCACAAGGGTTAAAAAATATATAATCTACTCAACTAACATAATAATATTACACTGGAGAAAAATGCAAAGGAAAAATAAAAAGTTTTAAAACTTTCTAGATATGTTTTGGAAGAGTTTTGTTTTGACACAGAAGGGGTAACAGTAGATGGTGGAAGCTGAGAGTTTTTAGCAGCTATAGTGCTATAGTATAGCGATAGAAAGGGGAGCTTTAAAAAAATATGATTTATGAAATATATATTTTATAAATTATGTTTTTGCACAGTGACATCCTGGCTCTGGCTAAATCTACATCTGTCCACTGCAAGGCTAATAACCACAACCTGGAAGAGGAACTATAAATGTATAAAAGTATAATATAACCTTATAACATTTAGCTACAGTAGATTTTAATCTTCACTAACCCAGCTTGTAAAACATTTTAGGCCATACCCCAGCTAACACAGTACGTTGTGACGACGTCGTCAGTAAGTCGTCATTTGGTCAGTGACATTACTTTATGGCAACGTTGTGAGGACGTCGTAGTAAAGTTCCATTTTTTTAAGATCTTTGCTAACGTTCCAGAAACGTTGTGGGTACGTCCTCAAAAGAGGTCGCTATTTATCCCATGGAAAACGTTGTAGAGACGTGGTCAACTGGTCACCAGATAATTTTATCAAATCTTTGATGAATTATAATTACATTTCTCATATAGTATCCAAATATACTAGGACTTGTAACGCGATTTTCTGGAAAGTTATCTGGAGACCAGTTGACCACGTCTCTACAACGTTCTCCATGGGATAAAGTAGCGACATCTTTTGAGGACGTGCCCACAACGTTTCTGGAACGTTAGCAAAGATCTTAAAAAATGGAACTTTACCACGACGTCCTCACAACCTGTCCTAATGACTAAATAAAACAATGCAACTGCACAAACATGCTTTAAAAGTTTTATTAAAATAGGAAAAACAGAACAAAGATTTTTACAGCATTGTAAAAATGAATAACTGCGCAAATAGCATTAAAATTATGAACAATAAAAGAGGAAGAGGAAGGGGAGGGGGAGGGGGAGGGGGGGGTGTCCTCCGATACACGAGTGTATGAATGACACTCGTGTATCATTCATCTTCCAAATCTGTCACTCATGTAATGCCGACAATTGGTCCTTCCAAACCAGCCAAACGAGGACATCTTAAACATAATGAATGCCCTGTAAAATAATGATCGGAGGATCGGAGACTGAATTAATAATGACAATAATCAATAATGATAATAATAATCATGCGCAAAATACACGCGCTTCTCCAGTCTGAAGATATCGACTTTTTTCTGGTAAGTTTCAATTCACGACTCTTCATATAGCATCTCATCCTTAGGATGACTGTTAAAGTTAACTTAGCCTAAATTTTCGTTAACCTTGTGCTCTAAAAAACAAACAAACACTGATTTGCTATTTCTAATTGTAGCTAAATTAATTTTAAATGATGTTTCATTAAGAAATTGCCTAGATTTAATAAATAAGACTTGGCAACCCATGATTACATATTGTCAATCATCATATGTTAAGATTGTCACTTGTGGTTTTGTTTTATAATTATGGACCACGAATAAAATTTCATTATTGGCTATGTATGTATATTTCTTTTTTTCTTTTTTTTTTTCTTTTTTTGATTATAATACCTATTATTTTCACTTGTAGGCTCTGTAATGTATTGTTTTGATGGAACGGGTTATTATGGGGGTAAGCTTTAACTTTAAGTGTATCTGCTTTGTTAATGATTTCTGTTAATGCTTTGAATAATAAAAAATAAACTAAATAAAAAACATGTTGCGTTTATATTCTCATCTGATTTTATAGAGTTGTGTAGTATAATCTACTTTATAATGATTTTAGTATCATAATGATTAATAAATGCACGCACAATTATTGGTGAATTTGATAAATGGTCCAGGTATGTTTTACTATGCATAAAAAATGTCTTTCAACGTGCAAAATTCAGAATTAAATTAATATACAGCAAATTGTACAAATCAAGTCTGTAGGCCTACATGTAGCCATTAAATAAGCGCATTTAGTTTCATATTTGTTGAAATATTATAATGCTTTCCCCCCATGTTGATTATGAAAATTGAGCATGAGATAGGATAAGCAATTATATCTAAAGACATGAAGTGGGTTGATTTGGACTCATTATTAGCCTGTTTTGTATAAAGCTTTCTTTAAAGTGAATTTAGTTTTGTATAAATTGTATCTTAATCATTTTTTTTAAATTAATCAACCAATTGCCTGGATTTAATAAATAAGAACAGACAACAGACAATTGCAGATAATATTAACAATGACATGGAGGCGCGCATTGCCCTTGAACTTGAGTGCATCTCATCATAAATTAACCGAAATATGCCTTACAGACATGAGAAATATATATATATATATATATATATATATATATATATATATATATATATATATATAGCTTGCAACTAAGTCTTTACACGAAACTATTCCAAACGAAAAGAAATAGGCTGTGAGAGTTGTTACAGTATTTCAGCATTGACGACTCGCATATGGCTACATTCTTACTCGCGTGCCAAGCACGCGAACATGCCAGCTGCAGCTGTTGTCATGACTTCCGCGCAGCGCCCGTTTGTTGTGGAAACCTGCACATCCAGCATACAGCTACTTTTTCAGAGGTAAGTTATACTTCTTTTAAGGTAAATTACTTTTAAAACATATGATATGAGCCCATTGGGTAAATGGTATTTAGAAGAAAGAAAAGAAGAAGAAAGTAAAATAAGATGTAAGCTACTATATAAACCTTTTATGTTGTGTCTTTTCCAGAAAATGTACCACTAACGTTACTGTTCACATAATGATTTTCAGCCCATTCTCACCCCCAAAGCGTCACTTAACTGACGCCTTGGGAAACATTTGGACATGCTTCAATATCTGACGCTTTAGGCGCCCTTTAGCGTCAGTAAGATGACGCCCTAGGATCGCGTGTACCCTACCCCCACCCCACACCTAAACCTAACCGCGTCCTCTAACTGACGCTTTCCTTTAGCGTCAGTTAGATGACGCTGTAGGATCGCGTCATGTAAGTGACGCTAAAGGGCGCCTAAAACGTCAAATATTGAAGCATGGTCAAAGGTGACGCCTTGGGGTGAGAATGCGTTGTGATTTTCCGTCTTTTTTACCGTCCACTTGTAAATAAATGCTGCTTTCACCTGATGAACATGTAAACCTCTTATAAAATTGTGTCTTTTTCAGTAAATTTACCACTAACGTTACTGTTCAACATTTTCCGTCTTCTTTTCTACCGTCCACTTGTCAGGACTGTTAAATACCGTTAGCACATATGATTATTTGAATCAAGGTGCTGAGTTGTCAACCCTCCCGTTTTTTCCCGGTTTCTTACGTATTTTATCTCTGTTCCCGCTGTCTTCCTGTTTTAGTATTTTCCCGTAAAATATCCCGTATTTTTACGCTCTGATTGTTTGAGATGTAGGCTACAAGCGCGGACCTATTCGGCTTAAAGTCCTTCATACTCGGATGCAGCCCCGCGCGCTGGCCGGAGACCCCACTGCGTGCGTCTACTAGTTTGTCTTTTCGACAACACTTGAAAAATTAACTAAAAAAATTTAAATTAAAGTTAACGGTCCTTCTCAGACGCAGCCTTGTGTTTCCTCTGTCCGTCGTCTGTCTAAAAGGTATTTCTAATTATATTATTATAAATTAGTCACCATAACCACTGTCCATCTTTAAATTATATGAAAATGTTACCTTTTAAACGTTTGCTGAAGTTGTCCGCAATGTACCGCTGATAACCGTTATATGCTAATACTACGAGTAGCTACGAAGCTAACAGCTGAAAATGAGACAACGTTACATTTCACATGATAAAATCATAACTGAATATGTTCATTTTGTTGATTTTGTTGGACAGTGGTTATGGTGACTAATTTATAATAATATAATTAGAAATACCTTTTAGACAGACGACGGACAGAGGAAACACAAGGCTGCGTCTGAGAAGGACCGTTAACTGTCACTACGCTACCCAGAGCGTTGCCATGGATACAAACCATAGACTGTGATACAAACCGCGTACATAAGGAATGACGTCACTCGCTTAGGCGCATTTGATCCTATGATTTGATCGTCACTCGCTTGTTTCTCCAATGTTTTTTTTTTTTTTTTTTTTTGTTATTTGTTCTGCATGTGCCATCAGTCTTAAGTGCAATAATTAGAACAATATTTTTCCTAAAATAAATTATTTTTAATAAAACCAGTCACCTTCTCCTGACCAACGTTTGACAGGTAACGTTAGGCTAAATGTTTAGGATACTTTTATTTGTCTTACCTGTGTTATTATCCACTTTCCAGCAATTTTTCATTCTTCACGTTTTCCTCGGCTGCATTCATCATTTGAAGTCGATGCATTCTTTTAGAGCTCCTGGGATTCAACCTCTTCGTGCATGTGGAATAGCCTTGAATCAATTGACATGTTTTTGATATTTAAATTATAACAGTTGAAAACAGACTCGTGGTATTATTACATCTTTAATTAGTGATTAGAATTTACATGAAGTAACATAAATTATCTTATTAACACACTAACATTTTAGAATTAACTTAATTTTACAATCAATGCAAATATTTGCATTAATATTTTAGTTTAATTATTCGTGTCTAAGTTGTAAAGTTTCATTTGATGATAGCAAACATGGGCGACCTGATTTTGCAAGTGTTGTCATGGATTTGCATTTGCGTGAGGGACGAAATAGGGACGTTCGCAAACTGGCCCGGAGAAATGTCCTCAGAACGTCCGTCAGCGAACGTTATAGAATGGACCAAATGCGAACGTCATCGGAATGTCCGCCAGCGAACGTTACAAAGCGGACCAAATGCGAACGTCATCGGAATGTCCGTCCGCGAACGTTACAAAGGGGACCAAATGCGAACGTCATCGGAATGTCCGTCCGCGAACGTTACAAAGGGGACCAAATGCGAACGTTCCTCCGAACGTCCGCTAGGGAACGTTACAAAGCGGACCTAATGCGGACCTAAGCGGACGTTTGAAAAGTCCGGGGGACGTCCCTTGTTTGCAGGGATTTAAAAAAGTGTTTAACATAAGTTACTTTGTCTTATTGTTTTTAATCAAATAATTGGGAACCACAAACGGAGCCTTCGTTTAGAGCGATTTCCAAATATATTTTATTTGTTATAATATTGGGTAACGTTATATGTCACCAGATCTAGGCTAATTAGTTTGATTATAGAATATGCAACTTTTTTATATTATTGTAATATTTTATTGTTGTTTTGTAATTAACAATATATCATCATAACTTATAAAGATCAAAATCTACAGAAGAGCTTAATGAGACTGCGTGTTGTGAGACTAATCAATGCGGAAATTTCCCTGCCGACACAATTCTGAATGTTGGCTATGTTACAGATTTAATGTTGAGCAAATAATGTTAAAGGCTTCTTAATTACCATCGGTTGACGAGTCAAGAAGGATGTGTTAATTTGCAGTGATTTCAATCTGTCCTTAGTTGGTAACCCAGTTTAATTATAATACAACATAAATAAAAACAAACACACGTAATATGTATGTAATAACTTGCAGGAGACAAATCCGTTCAATGCAGTTCATTTACTCAAAGCACATCAAGCCAGCAGTACACTTGAGCACAGTCCAGGGGTGCTTCTCAATATCCCTCCTCGTCTCCTCGCTCCTCCGTCCTCCCTCCTATGACCCGGAAACCGATCGAGCTCAGCCATCTTGAAGGACATCTCAATTCTCTAATTGCACCGTGAGGAGTCGAGGATCGAGGAGATAGGAGGCTTCCTGAGGAGTCATAAGCGAGGATACACAGGTGCATCCTACGCGGAACTGTTATATTGACTAAACGTGACGCACGTGTCAATTCTCCTCCCCCTTCACATCGGTCACAATCATTTTAATTTATACTTTACCTTTGCAGTTTATATAAACCACACATCTCAGATATTTCAACAGTATAGCCTATCTTTATTATTATTTATTATGAATTTATTAAATAACCAAACTTCAACATCATAAGGGCAGATCCTTTTAGCGCTGCTGATGACACTGTGGAGTGACGCTCGAGTGATCAAGAATTCCAATGTATATAAAAAAGCTTTTATTCGATTCCTCTGTCCTCCTTTCCTTTCCTCGCTTCCTTCCCTCGCGTCCTACAGGGGGTGGAGCTGAGACGCAAGGAAAGGAAGCAAGGGAAGGAAACGAGGATGCACAAATAAGAAATGAGAAGCACCCCAGGTGGAACACATGTCTGCTAACAGTTTCTTCTTTGCTACTCTTAAGCACAAAGCCAAAATACATTAGATTGCCCCCTACAGGTTAATCTACAAAAACTCACTCTACAACATTCCTTTCCCCCTAAGTTTACAATATAATCAACATCTATAACATCATGTGCCCACAATACAGTTACTTTTTTTTTTTCTTTTCATTTTTTTTTTCTTTTTAACTAATTTCATAATCTTTCAAATAGCCAGGTAATTTCCTGGTTCTCTGTGACCTCCTCATAATCACAACAGGACTAACAGATTTGTCCATTTCAGTTATTATCTCAGCAGCTTGAGAAGAATCCCCAGATACTTCAAAGGGATCAACTTCCCCCTGAATGTCCTCAGCCCCTGTGGTCTCCGTCTCTTTAGAACTCACAGAAGCAGAGTTGTTAAAAAAGTCATAATCAGGAGATTTACCGTCCATTTCCTCCCTGGAATGTTTCACAAGCAATTCCTGTCGGCCATGAATCTGATCCACATGTCTTCGGACCACTCTCCCATCGCCCAGCATCACTTTATAAGAAACTGGTCCAGTCACAGTCTCTATGTTTCCCGGAATCCATTTCGGTCCATAGCTAAAGTTGCGAACCAGCACTGGATATCCCACACAAAAACTACGTTCATGGGCCTTCTTGTCATGATATGCTTTTTGCTTTTGTTGTTGGTTTTTAATCTTCCTAGTCAAATCAGGATGCAAAAAGTCCAGAGAGCACCGCAATTTCCGTCCTTGTAACATTTCAGCGGGAGAGAGACCGGTGGTAGTCTGGGGAGTAATCCTATATAGCTGAACAACACTCGGGCCAATTTAGTTGCAATTGATCCTTCAACACATTTTTTTAACATGCCTTTAATAATTTGTACGGCCCGCTCCACTAACCCATTACTCGAAGCATGATAAGGTGCAGAGGTAACATGCTGTACTCCATTTTTGTTCAGGAACTCTTTAACTTCAGCACTAACAAAACAAGTAGCATTGTCTGATACAATAAGTTCTGGTAGTCCCTGATTACTGAAACTTTTACGCAAACATTCAATGGTGGCAGCAGATGTGGCTGAGTTCACGGGATACACATCCATCCATTTCGAATGTGCATCAATTAAGAACATTTTTCCCATGAATGGTCCAGCATAATCCACATGCAATCTTTGCCATGGTGTCTCTGGCCAATTCCACGGATGCAGTGGGGCTACAGCTGGAACGTTCCTGTGCTCTTGGCACAGATGACAAGTTTTAACCAACCTCTCTACATCTTGATCTAACTTGGGCCACCACACATAACTCCGGGCCATAGCTTTCATCCTGCACACTCCTGGATGGCACTGATGCAGTTGTTTCAAGACTTCTGATCTA